AATCCCGGGCCCAGCACTGCTCATGTAAAAGAACAAAATTAGCCCTGAGATATTTTCTTACTTCTCTTCCCCCTCCATTCTCCTATCGAAACTTCATGCCTACATTTAAAGCTAAAATTTCTAACAGAGTATCCAGATTCCACTCTTATCCTATTGTACATGAATTTTCTATGGAAGAGAGAAAAGCTTTAGACTCATAAAATGAAGGTGTTTCATGGCTACGCTGAAGGCACAGAGACCGAATAACCAATAAAATCTTAGTCTTCTATAGCCCTTACAGATCATTAAATAAAAACTATATACATACTATAAAAGCAAGGTAAAGAGCTGTGCTGCCATCTAGTGGCTATTTTTGTTGTTATTTACAAGACTCCAAATAAGATTGCAAACCAAGGGTCCCCAAACTTGGCAAGTTTAAGACTTGTGGACTTCAACTCCCACAATTCCTGAGCTAACATGACTGGAGGAGGAATTCTGGGAGTTGAAGTCCACAAGTCTTAAACTTGCCAACTTTGAAGACCCCTGCTCTAAACATTCCCTTGCAATGAAGGAAATGGTTTGCGTGCTGACAGAACAAAGCAACTTACAAAAAAAGGGTACAAGAATACACAGCTGGATTCCCAAGCTTTTCTCAAAGTGATGAGGCGACAGCTCTGAGGACTCACAACGTAATGTTGATTCAGCTCAAATACAAGTCCTCAACATCTGACCATTCGTTCAGCAACCTTTCAAGCTTATCCAATGTGCTAAAAAAAAAAAAAGATGGATTTACGACTGTGCCCAAAGTTACAACCATTGCAGCAACTCCCCTAGTCACATGATCAAAATGTGGGTGCTTGGATGCCTGCCAGCACTAAAACCCCCAGAGATGCTGCAACTCCCCTCACCCATCTATCTCCCCTCGATCTATGTCTTTTTGGTACCCTGCCACCTTGTGTTCTGTCAACCCATCTGATCTTGCCTTCTCCTTGCTCCCACTGCTAATGAGTGCCTGGTCTGCTGCCGGGCCAGGCAGCAGTTGCTAAAATAATAAAAAGCCAGGGCTGCAGTGTGCTAGAAAGTCCCTTTGCGTTGCAACCTTGGCCCAACTAAGTTGGGAGTTTGGCTGCAAAAAAAAAACAACATTTTTTTTAAAAAAAGAGCCAAAAGCAGTCCTTGAGCAGCAGTGCACCAAAGCACCTCTATGTAAAACCTCCTGGAGCAGAAATATCAGGGCAAGACAGAGGCAGCTGCAATTCAAATTTCCAAGGTCCTCTTACAGTCCGTCTGCTAGGAAATGTGCTGTGTCTAACGCAGCGATCCCCAATCTTTGTGGCTTGGCCGGGGGTGGTTTGAGGTAAACTGGGCCGTGCAAGCGGAAGGCCGATGTGTATGCGCAGCTCAACTTGCATGTGCATGCTGGCCCACTGCTCACGTGAGTTGAGCTGTGTGCATGCACATCGGCCCTGCCTTTCATGCGGCCCAGTTCCAAATAGGCCTTAGCCCGGTAGTGGGCCACAGCCAGTGCTGGGATTCAAATTTGTTTATCACCGGTTCAGGGGGGGGGGGGCGTGCCTTGGTGGGCATGCTTTGCGTGCATGCAGAGGCTTTCCTACTGACCGACTCCTGCACTCTCCCTGTCTCTTCAACAGCTGACGCGTGGCAATCCGCTGTGCCGTGCGATGCAGCTGAGCGTCAAAATCCGGAAATAAAGGTCAGTATGGAGCCGGGGCGGGCGAGTGGGCCCAGCAGCTGATCTTTGGAGCAAACCAGTTCACTCCCAGATGATCTTGGGAGCTACCGGTTTGGCCAAACTGGGCTGAACCAGTAGAATTCCACCCCTGGCCGCAGCCCGGGGGTGTTGGGGACCCCTGGTCTAATGGAATTCATTGGAACATTACCTGGAAATGCTATTGTCCCTACGACTTCTCTTCTTGCATTGGTTATTATTTTTTATTTATTCAAGTCCTATAGCCGCCAATCTCAGCCAAGTGATTCTGGGCTTATAATTCTAACACTATCAAACAGGGGTCTCCAACCTTTCTGGTTTTGTGGACCACGGGGTGGCTGAAGGATAGGAGATGGTTCTGTGCAAGCAGCGGGTGTGTGCGCTTGCACAGTTCCATATACATATACGTGCCCACCACTCACACAAATGGAGCTTCCTGCGTGACCATGCTCACCCACCGCTTTGGCGACCTGGTTCCAAATGGACCTTGGCCCAGGGGTTGGGGACCTGCTATAAAATAATTTTAAAAAAATAAAACATCCAAAAATTAAAAACATATAGCAGCCAAGATTGTTAAACCAGCTAATACAAAAGCCAAGGTAACAGGGACTTTAACACATTACGAGTCCCAGGTCCATGTATCCAGTCAGGTTTTTAAAGCTGTAGGAAAAGCCAACCGGCTTGGGGCCATTCTAACCTATGAGGGCCATCAACTTCTTGTCAATTCTTACCAACCATATAGATTCTCTCTCCACGACAATCTGTCCTTAATCTTGTCTTTGTCTTTGTGCACTCATCCCTGCAATGTGTTTGCACGGTGTGGCAAAATTGCAGAGTATTAGCTCTGACTGAACAAGCTTGGAAAACAATTGTTTGCTTTGCTGTCTTATCACATGACCTTGCAATCGTCATAAAACTAAGCCAGAGGACAGTCCCTGTCAGAAGTGCCAGTCTCGGGTAGGGACATTAGCTTTAGTTTTGAAATAAAGCACTCTGTGGCCGTAGCAATACCTGGAAAGTTTTTCACAGCTACCGTTATCGTAGTTGTGCATTAGACAAAGTTGTGGAGAATAATTAAGAAGCTGTTGCATTACGTTTAAAGGTGGCAGTGTTTGTGTGTGGTAACAGATGATGGGTGAGACCATCTGTTGCTTTATTTTTTAAATGATCTGCTTGGGTGAGAAGCCAAATGACATCAAAGAAAAACCAGGAAATCCAGTTGCCTCTTGAAAAGGAACCTTTGGGACAACCATGACGTGGATGATTGAGAATCTCCAAAGACATATTTTTGGAAGAAAGAAATACGGATAATCCTTGACTTATAACCATTTGTCTCTTGTGACCACTCAAAGTTAGATCGGCACTAAAAAAAGTGACTTATGACTGCTTTTCACACCTATGACCCACTGTAGCTGCCCCATAGTCACATTATGAAAATTCAGGCAATTGGCAACTGGCATGTATTTATGAGAGTTACATTGTCTTGGGAGTCATGTGATCACCGTTTGTAGGCCTTCTTGTGGTCTGCTGTCAGCCTGCGGAGATAGCAGCAGAATCAGACAGTGGGGAAGAACAGGGGCAAGTCCGGGAGTCCGGGGAGTCCTGCATCCGATACAGAGTTGGGGTCAGGGCCATCTGGGAGTTATGTGCCGACTCCAGAGCCTCCAGAATCTGACAGCAGTGAGGTAGAGGAACAAGGGGAGCCTGTTCCCAGTGTTCATGTGTGCAGAGCTGCCAGAAGGCAAGAGCAGTTAAGACAAAAGGGGCGACTCAGGAGTAGGCTTGGAGGTGATTGCCCCTCCCATAAGGTATAAAGGAAGTGCAAAGGGACAGGAACCTTTGCAGGAAGCAACGTTGTTCGCTCTGGTCAGTTTGGAACCTGAAAGCTCCGTGGTGAATTTGTGCTCTGTTTGGTTTTGAAAGACTAATTAGCACTTTAGTCGTTGGCAGCACTTCAAATAAGATAAAGGTGCGTTCTTATCAGACTTCTCCCAAAGAACTTTGGCAGACTTCCATGGGACTATTTATAATTGGTTGAGACTCATTACGGGCTGTGAATGACGATAATTCACAGCCGTTGAACTAAAATAAAAGGGTTTTGGATTTAACGTGTTTGTTGGTGTCTCAGGAAGCCTTGGTCAGAACATGCTCAGATAAAAGTGCAGGTGCTCAATCTACATTTATTAATCTCTGCTATTAAAATTCAAGATTATTGTAGCATTTACAGTTCTATATATTGCTGTTTCTTGAACCCATGGAATATGATGGAACAGCAGTTTTTCTTATAGTCTTCAGCATGTCTAGAATTAGGATCTACCTAAGTTTACAAAATGCAATAGATGTTGTCAATCTTCCAAACTAGGACACCAGAGTTATGAATGCTAATACAATACTACTTTCTTACAAAGTTACAGTAACATAATTTTGCAAACCTGAATGTTCCCCCTTTACCTTCATGACTAGGGTTATGTCTGACCCTCTTTATCAAATTACATTTCTGCCCCAACTCATTTTTTTAATATGTCTTAATTATGGCTCTTCCTCCTGTTTCTCAAGTTCATTCCTAGTGCCCATTAGAATCCAGGTAGTCCTCGACTTACATCCACAATTGAGTCCAAAATTTCTGTTGTTAAGTGAGACATTTATTGAGTTTTATCCCATTTTATGACATTTCTGGACAAAGTTGTTAAGTGAATCATTGCAGTTGACAAGTTAGTAACCTGGTTGTTAAGTGAATCTGGCTTCCTGATTGACTTTGTTATCAGAAGGTCACAAAAGGTTATCATATGGCAACGGTCATAAATATGAGTCAATTGCCAAGCATCTGAATTTTGTTAACACGACTATGGGAATACTGCAAAGGTTGTAACTGTTAAAAACAGCCATAGGTCACTTTTTTCAGTGCCATTGTAACTTTGAAGGGTCACTAAATGTAAGTCAAGGACTATCTCTACACTTGGAATTCCACTGGTAACTAAACATCATAGCCTATGTGCAAAGTATCACAAAATGTATACAGGTAGTCCTTGACTTACCACCACAATTGAGCCCACAATTTTGTTAAGTTAGAAATTAGTTAAGTGGAATTTTGTCCCATTTTACTTTTCTTGCCACATTTGTTAAGTGAATCACTGCAGTTGTTAAATTAGTTAACAGTTAAGTGAATCTGGATTCCCCATTGACTTTGTCAGACAGTTGCAAAAGATGGTCACAAAAGCAAGTATGATCTTCTCTCAAGTCATTTTTTTTTAGTTAAGAAGGGCGCCGACAACTATACTCTTACTCAAGTGTATTAATTAAATGTGTTTTATTTTACATCATGATGTGAAAACATAACACCTATTTAATAAAAGTATACACATTTGTAACTTCACTCAGAATACACTTTTTAATGCACAATAAAAAAAGCATTCCATCTTACAAATTGTTTGCAATCCAAATATACAATAGCTTGGAAAACAAATAGGTTTAGAAAAAACGAATGCTAATGTAAAAAGACTACTTAGACCTATAACAGTAGAGTTTCTGTATGGCTCTTCTTTACAGTTTTCTTACTGCATCATCAATATCAGAAATCTGTTCCTTCAGCTGGCTCCACTGTTCTGGATTTAGAGAGATGCCTGAAATAAACCAAATACATCCTTGGAAAATAGTATAGTTTCACAGTCATACTATAACCTTCGTTAACTCTGCAACTGCAGAATTTACACTGGTTCTAAGGATCAGTTCCTGACAACCCATAGCTCTACGTTAAGAACATTCAAATTTAAACATACATAATATGAAAGGCAAGTTGGGGTTAGCTGAATCAGATATTTAGGTGCCTTGCATAACTGAACCCCTCAGTACCTGGCAATAGAAGATAATGAATTAATTACCAGGAGAAGAAAATGGGTAATGTTTGCATTAATCTATTGTGTAACTGGACAGAGGGTGTTGAAACAGTAACGAACAACTTGAGGAATACTCCTTCATCCTTAACACTGACTTTTCTAAAAGCAAAAGTCATGACACTATGCCACAGCTTTCTTTAAACAATGAATATACACAAAAGTGTTAATTCATATCTGATTTTCATCAAACCAAGCATTCACATGAGTTGTCAAAAACAAGATTTCAAAAACAAGTTGTTTGGAAAATAGTCAATTTATAAAAACGGGCAGATTTTGCAACATTACACTTTGCAGAACACATTGTTTCAGGGTTTTGAGAAATCACTCACATTATTTTCCAGCCCTGTTTAAAATATTTGGACATGCCTTTCACAGAAAGTAAGAGCAATTATATAATTAAATTGTAATAGATTTAACAATGGAAGGAGCCCTGAAGTCTTACTTCATGCAGAAATTATGCCAGTTTTCATCCAAAGCTAGGTTAATAAAGCAACTTATACCTCCTGTCAAATCAGGAAAGCATCAATTCAGACTGTTGTAACTACCCACAAAACTCTGATATTTTTTGAAACAAAACTTCTGATGCTTCCAATTAAAGTTGCACACAGAGTACAGAACATAAATGGGAATTATGGAAAGACAGTCAACAATTAAATCTATTAATAGCACTTTATAATAATTGGCATCCGATTTCATACATTTTGCATTTGGATAGCAAACCTAGAAGCATAAAGTGCTTTGTTCAGGCCTACAGCTTGAGAATTGTGATGCGAGATTATAGGCTTTTTTTCCAAACATGGAGCTACATTTTAGAATTGCCTTGCCAAATGAGTTAAAATGAAATTCAACACACACTGACAACTCAAGTCCTGTGTACTGCTAAAGACAGATGGACAGAGTTGGAGAATATATTCATCTTCTGATTTCTGAACAAGTGTAATAAGCCAGAAAAAGGCCCTAAAATTGCCAATATCAGAGAAATGACAACCTTCCAATAAATCTATGTCCAACGTTTCTGAACAATCTTCAGGGTAGACACACCATTCAAGGAAGCAACAGAAGCACCTACATGTATTCATTTGGCTACTTCATATAAATGACTGATATGAATCCTTCACACAAGGCACTAATTCATGTGCCCAAATTCGGCTTTTTATTAGACGCCTTTCATAATGGCTAGCCAGATAAAAACAGAATGAGATAGAAAAATCAGCAGCATTACTTCAGTCAACAGACAAAACACACACCTGAAAGCTACTCTATGTGTAAATACTCACTTGTTTTTAAGTTGTTTTTTTTTTTAAAAAAAAACAGCATTTAAGAAAAAGTTTTTATCTCAACCAAACTCCTTCCTATTATACAACTGTCCGGCACTGCACTCAGTATTGCACTGTCAAAAGATATACCTGTTGGAACTCTGTACAAGATTTTTCCACAATTTCTCTTGTAAGTTAACTAGAATGCCTTGTATTTAGGTCTGGGGCACATGGGCTTAATATTGCAAATAAATAAATTAACATCTAAATGTTGAAACAGCATATGCAAGTATATAATTACCTTTTCTGCCAGGTTTCATTTCACCTTCTTGATCCATCCAATATTCTCTAATATCAATTAGGACTTTACCTTTAAAGTCCCGAACATTGACATATCTCATTTTACCAATCTGTCAGGGAATTAAAAAGTTCAATCATTACTTCAATAAGCACCCGGAAGTACTTTCTTTAATCACTGTTAATATTTTGAATATTCAGCAAGAATTGTAGTTTATATTCTAAAGGCAATGTGACCAGACAATAGTATCTCTGTAGCTCCTATATTTTTGGCTGTGTAATTCTCATTTTTTACCTAAGAACAAAAATTCATCCTGTAAACTGTTATATCCTCCAAAGTGGCTAAAAACTTCAACCCCACCCACTTCCGAGATGTTACTGGATTAACAGTCACATCTCCCTGACTTTTGAAAGAGGAAATGATCATGTCCAATGTGGATCTGGCTTCAAAAATACTGCCTAGCCCATTCTGGAGGTTGGAAGAAGTATTTCCTCTCAATAAAACGTATCAGAGGAGTGTATACTGGCACTGCAGAAAGACAGAATTAGCATTTTAGACAAAAAATTTAAGAAAATAGTGTTTCAAAATTAAATTAAATTTCATTGTTGCATCATCGTTGAGTAGATTTTTTTTGGGGGGGGGGGTGGCTTATTATTAAGAAGAGTAGCAGAGCATAGGCATTATGTATTAAAAAAGGTTTGTGTTTTACTGAGATTGGCAAAGGCTGCCTTAATTGCTCAAGAGAGAATGTATCACACCAACGAGTCCTTTCAGAAATATGAATGCTTTTTTAAAATTACATATTTAGCAAATGCTAGTGTTCCAAAACTAATACAGGGGGATTTAGAACTAGAGCAGAGACAATTTAAAAGAGTAAAATTAATTGGTCAATCTATCACAATGTCAGCAAGAATAAAAAAGACAGCCATTTTGAACAGAGAGAAAAGTAAAAATAAGAGGGCATGTAAATAATTTCTAGACACATTACCGTCCATAAGATACACAACTATTGGCATTCAATTTCACACCTTTTAACCACTAAGTACTAGCTTACTTATTTTAGGGCACCACCATGACATGAAAATTTAGAAATGAATAATCAGAAAGTAACAGCTGCAGAACAAATCTCCTGAAACCATTCTTGGAGGAAACTGTAATATTAACATACTACTACAAAAGTTAGTTGCCTTTATTAGCTTTATTAGCTACTATTTAAAAAGGGGGTGAGGAAAACCCTTACTAACCTGACCAAGTTTTACATTGGTGTTTCAGCCCTTTTCTCTTTTTACAACTATAATCTAAACTGAACTTAACCTTAACTGAAGACATTATACAGGTAGAGACACTGACTTACAACCATTCCGTTTAATGACCATTCAGAGTTACAATGGCAATGAAAAAAATGACTTGACTGGTTTTCACACTTACCCCATAGTCACATGATCAATTTTGGGGCACTTGGTAACTGGCCTGTGTTTATGACAGTTGCACTGTCCTGGGATCACGTGACCACCATTTGTAACATTCTCAGCTAGCAAAATCAATGGGCGAAGCCAGATTCACTTAACAACCGCATGATTCACTTAGCAACTGCAGTGATTTGCATATTAACTGTGACAAAAAGGTCATAAAATGGAGTCAAATTCACTTAACCACCACCTTGCTTAGCAACAGAAATTTTGAGTTCAATTGTGGTTGTAAGTTGAGATCTACCTGTAATTAAGAGCAAATAAAATACTGATGTTGTCAGGGAAATCAAAATACTCTCAAATGGAAACGGAAATGGATATAAACTCACACCAGTCAGCATAAGGCACTTTCCTATGTTCAACTACTGTATTTTGCATGGAAGAGGCTGAACCTCTGGAACTTTCAGTCTTCTGGTTTTTTTTTACAGGTTTTTCTGGAACCGTCTGATTTTTTCCTTTTTTCCATGGCATTTAAAAATAAAAAGGACCTATAAACCTGAGTCTACCTTGCATTTAAAATGACAACTCCAAAAATGAATATTCATTTCATTCAAAAATAATCTATAACAATACACGATAACTATGCTGAAAAATTAAGACCTCTTTTATATAAATATTCTAATACTTCTGGTTTCTATAACATTAGTGAAAATTACAAAAGGTGAATTATATATCCATTTTTTTTACAATAATCAATAAGAGCAGTGTATCATAAAACATGAGCATTAATGTGGGCATAACTCTCCCCATGAGTTAAAAGCTGCAACTGAATCAAGAATAATCAAAGGACAGGTAACATACACATAATAAAAACTTATTTTCTAAATTTGATCTCAAATACCTATTTGATTACCCAAGCTTTAATTCTTGTTTTATAAACAACTTATGCCAAAACTAAAAATACAAAGTTTAGCATAACCCATTTAAATGTTTGTGTTATTACCAAGTGAAATAGTATTTCAGAATCTTATATTCTAGATCATCGTTGAGTATGTTTTCCCTTTGAGTAATCACATAATAGGGCCTAATTTTTAACTGGAGAGGATTATTTAACCAGCTTCTTTCAGAAATAAACGTTTTTACACCAGAGAAATCTCTCCCATTTTCTACTTGTAATTGTTAACATGCAATGCTGTAAAAAAGCACTTGTTCTTACAGAAAGCTCCACTCCTTCCTACAACTTGGCCAACACAACTTTTGATCATCCCTAAGCTCTGCCAAAAGGTGGTGCACTTTACAAAATTAGTTGAGAAACAAATTTTGCTAGAACCTAAAGCTCTGGGGCATATACAGCTTTTAACCCCTTTCAACAGTCACAGTAATGCTAGGGAATGAGGACAGTACAGTATTCCAGATGTGAGGAAATTATCCTATTATCTTGAGTACATACATTCCATATACCTAGTTGGTAGAATATTGGGAAAATGTTAGCTTGCAAAGTAATTTCTGGATAGAAACCTTTTGCACTGAGCATCCTGGAGATGAAACTGGGTTTTAGTTGTACTTGTGGCACACTGTCTAAAATATGCTAAATTGGACCAACAAGCAGGATATAAAGATGTAGCAGAACCAAGGATAACAAAACATAAAGACCCATGTTGCTATAAACTAAATTTAACTGTATTTTCTTATCTCACGCTTATTTCTTTTGGCATACCATTTCTAGCCATTTTCTGCACTTTGTAAAAAGATATTTACTGGGTATATATGTAAGTGGAACATTAATTGAGCTTATGGGGACCTTAGCAGTCCCATATTACCAAGTCCAGAAAGCAAGGAATAGATGTGTTCCTCCAAAGAGGGGAATTACAAAGTATACATCATGAGAATGTGGCTAACCCAGATTTCAATCATCGTGTCAGCAATTACCTGAAACATATTCTCATCTCTGTTGCTACTTTGCACAGAGGAGGCTGCACCTCTGGAACTTTCACCAGTCTTCTGTTTCTTTACAGGTTTTTCTGGGGCTGTCTGTTTTTTCCTTTTTTCCTTGGCATTTAATAATAAAAAAGAAGGACTTACTGGAAAAGTATTAGTTTCAGTTTGCACAACTAGCTCTTTTCTCCACAATTATATAAGAATGGAGAGAGGATTCCAAACCCGAATATTAAGCTTCTCTGCTTCCATTCAATGTTAAAGCAAGGTTACACATTATTTCCATTTCTACAGCATGACCTAGAATTGAGGCTTAAAATAAATATAATCTATTAAATAGGACAGCAAAATAAAACTGGTTGGAATTAATTTTAAATCATAATTCACAATGTGTAGTTAAGCTACAGATATGTTACAATTGAACTGAATTTTGGTTTATTGCTCTTCAGTTACAAGAGAAGAAACGTGGGCCAAATCCTTCAGTTGGTCTCATTTCTTTTCACAAAAGGAGTCCCAACTTATGATCCTGAATTGCAAGTATAAGGCTACTATTTCTCAGAAGTGATCTTACAAAATAAAGGCTACAGTTTATCTATGGGAAAATATTTAAGTAAGAATTTGAAAAGCAAAAGGCACTATGTTCCAATTATAATCATATTTATTATATCTAGAGAAGATAGGCCTGAGCATAAATCTGGAACTGGAAGGTTTTTATCTGCAGAACAGTTATGAATGGGAAGGAGGTCAATTAACTTCTTTCTACAGTAGACTATGAAACAGAATGTAAATCTAATTACTTACTGACAGCAGATGATTTGCATGCTGAAATTTAAAAGAACGCAGAATGTTAGTACCCCATTATACAGTCTATTTAGATTAGCAATCAAAATAATATTTGTCATAAAATGGCCAAATACTTAGAAAGGCAGAAATCCATCCCTCTCTTGTTCCAAGCTTGCTTTAAAAAACCCTTTGAACAGCAATAGCTCTTTGAATTAGGCTACAGGTCTTCATATCCATTCAGCAAGAGTATTTTAAAATTTTATTTTAAACTGGATCAATAGACTCAAGAATTTTGAAAAGGTAAAGACAAAAACAAAGCATTTCTAATCAAGATTAGAAATGTGATTCCAAGAATGACACTTTCAACTTAAATCATAAAAAATAGCACATGTGTATCAGTATTTATTACATAACAGCAAATCATTTTAATTTCTACTTTAATAAAAAGAATAGTTTAATTGAAGTATTTTTCTGCCAAAAGAATATTTATATGGTTCACTTCATTTGTAACTTTTAAACATCAATCCAAAGCCTTGGTTCTTTGGGTTACGTTTATCATTAGCAAGATAATTCAAAAACATAATATAAATATAGCATAATATAATATAAAATATAATATATAGCATAATATAATATCAAATAATCACCGCTGTATCAGCATCTGAATCACTGCCAGATGAGCTTGAAGACACAAGTTCCTTTGATTTAGGCATTCTAGGAAGGAAAAGATGCAGTGAAAAAAATTGCATGTTTCCAACAAAATGGGACTCTAACAAATATGCAAGCAAGCATTATCAAGTCATTCCTTCCATCGCTGCAATAATCAAGCATTCATACTTTGAAGTTCCATTAAATCAACACAGGTATGATGTTGTGGTTAACTTATTAAACTAGGAGCTGGGGTCCCCACACACCAGTCCATCCACAGAAGCTCATTGGCTAACTCTCTTTATCTTACCTGCCTCATAGGGCTGTTTTTCTAGAGAAAATTTATGATTTAGTGATTTGTTACCTTAAGCGCTAAAATGAAAGGTGGGTTATATAGGTAGTCCTCAACTTAAAACTGGTTGCTAAGCAAAATTATGACAGACCACCCAAGATGTACTTACAACCCAGTTTCGAAGTTTCAAGTGTGTGTGTGTGTGTGTGTGCGCGTGCGTGTTGCAGTTACATTATCATATTTCTGGAACTTGACAACCAGCCTGCATTTACAGCCATTTGCAGCATACTGTGGTCATGTAACCACAATTAATATTGCTTTTGCTGAAAAATGGCATTTATTCTGGGCTTTCGGCAAAAAAAGCCCATAGCAAACAATGAGTTCGCTTAACAACTATGGCAGGGGTGGGCAATTAATTTTTGTCAGGGGCCACATGGAAAATCAGATCTGCGTTCGATATATATATATATTCTTATATATAATTTGCTGCATTTTATAATGGGCAACTTCCCAGCAACTTTCGGCTTCCTTTTAACTCGCGGGCGCTCGCGCCTGGCCCCGAGCCTCCTCCAAGCAGCCTGCCCGCCCGCCGGGCTTCCCCTCCGCCGCGCGGCTCGGGGCCAGGCGCGAGCACCCACGAGGAAAAAGGAAGCCGCAAGTTGCTGGGAAGTTGCTCGGGTTTCCGGGGCTTCCAGGCTTAAACTTTGCACAGGCAAAGTTTGCAGGCGGGAGCGTCTTCCCGCCGAGGAGCGGGAAGGGTTCCGCCCGGCGGGCAGGTGGGCTGCTTGGAGGAGGCGACCGCGAGTTAAAAGGAAGCCGGAAGTTGCTGGGAAGTTGCTCGGGTGCTGGGAGCAGGCTTTTAAAGTGCCGCCCGAGCAGGACCGCCGAGCCGGGAAACGGGGCACCAAGGCAGGGCAAGGCTCCACCAGCAGCGGCCTAGCTTTAGGTGGCTTCAAGCAGCCCGCCCACCCGCCGGGCGGAACCCTTCCCACTCCTCGGCGGGAAGACGCTCCCGCCTGCAAACTTTGCCTTTGCAAAGGGGCGGGCCGGATTGGACAGACCAACGGGCCGGATGTGGCCCATGGGCCGTAGTTTGCCCACCCCTGAACTATGGCATTCACTTAACAACCATCGCAAAAAAAGTCATAAAAACATGTCGGGTCACATCATGACTCACTTTACAAGCATTAACAATTATGAAAGTAATGAGAAGGCTTCATTATACTTCTAAGTCAAGGAGTACCTGTAATTTCTAGTTAATACCAAAATAATATTTAAGGATTAGAATAACCAGCTTATTTTAGCATTGAGGTTGTATGAACAAGGGTGCAGTTTTTTTTTTTTAAAAAGGATTTAGCTAGCACAGGTTTTCTATTTCTTAAGTAATACCTACAATTCCTTCTTTCCCCCATATTTTTCATTCTGTATTATAAAAACAGTGTATCTGTATGTCTCCAAAACTTTCTGCATCACTGCATCATTACATGGCTGATTATCACAGAGGATAAAGACATCCCAAAGCATCTGGAGACACACAGATACCCCACTTTTATAGTAAAGATCGATAAAATGTGGAGAAAAGAAAAAGAGTAGATCAAAAGTTTATGAACATACATATATAATCAAGGTATCCAGATTGACAGAACAGGTAGAATACAGGAGGTGGGCTTCAAGTGCAAGGCTAAAAATAAAAAAGCACATCTGAAGACAGTGCTAGGAAGCTTTCCACTTTGCTTGGGATATAATCTCCACTAATAGAGCTCTACGGAAAAACACTACTTGCTTTTTTTTAAAAAGTCCATTCTTTATACATTACTGATTGTATTATACTTTAATATAATTGTTTATATCACACCCTATCATGATGAATAATTACAACTTTCTTGACTTCCTTCCTTTTTAGTATTCTTGCTTGAAGAATTCTTAGAAATTCTAAAGAGTACAATATTTAACTTCAGTAGTCTGATAAAGATTTTATTTTAATATGGACTTTGAATTTTGAATCCTAACACTAGGTCTCATTTGTTTTTTATAAGAAAAGAAAAATGCAACAGAAGAAAAAGACTAAGACATCAAAATTTCAGGATGACAAAGCTATAGACATATTATGATAGGAGAAAAGTGTCCTTTAGAATACAGGAACAGATTAATGGAAAAAGTTAAAGAATTGTGTAATAATGCAGAGTGAAAAATAATACCAAATAGACAAAAATCTAATAATTGCACAAGAGTTCTTGTTCTCATGTTTTCTTTTAACTGTAAATAAAGTGAAAATGATTCTACTTGTTATAAAAATAATTCAGTAAAAGAGATACACAAACCACAACCAATAAATCTTACTTTAAGATCAGAGATTTATTTCATGAGCAATTTGAAACATGAAAAGCCATCATAACATAACATTTCAGTAAGACAGTACTTACTCACTCACTCACTTACTAACAACCCATTGCAATGAGGTCCAGAGATAGTAGCTAAGACCAGCGAGGAATAGCTACCATCAGTGGCCCTGATATGAGATTTACCCCCTTCTTTTATACCCTTTTTCTGAAGCCCACCCAGTAGTATGTAATCTTACTGGATGTACCACCTAGTCCCCTCATACTGACCGTCAATTAACAGCCACTTGTAGGTATATGCCAATTCCCTTGCCATCTGCTACTTTTTATTTCCCCTTTTTCTCAATGTCCCAGACATTTGTGATCCAAATAGCTCTATTTTAGATTGTCCAGCAAATATATGCTTTTTGCAGAAATAGCTGTGCCTGCAAAATCAGCTCAGCAGATTGCAAATATTTCACCATGCTTGCAAAATCAGCTCAGCTGGTGTTATAATGTATGTATGTATGTATGTATGTATGGTATTCAGCTTTGTTCGGGTATTTTCCCACGTCATTATAGTTGTGCTTTTAAAGTTGTAGCAACGTTTCGGCAGAATCTCATCTGCCATCATCAGGCTTCTGAAGAAGCTGAATACCATACATGTAAGTACCCGCGAAAACTTAACACACACACACACACACATAACATACATACATACATATATATAAATATAAATAAATAAATAAAAATTTAAGGCCTTCAATTAAGCAGAGGCCTATACTAACGTTAAAGCCTAGTTGCCCTTTTCTCACATACTGTACATCTCTGCAAAATATAACCTGTCATTAAAACAGAAATGCAAACCAAGGTGTCAAGTACTCTGAGTCATAATAGCAAAACCATAAAATAGCAGTTATAGAACTATAATTATGCTTGAATTGGGAAGTAGCCTGCAACATGAAATGTAAAACACAGACAACAATGAAGGTATATCCTTCCCATTCAGAGGTTTAATGTACTTTATGATGTGTTAAACACAGGTAAGGTTATCTTATAAAAATATGTTAATTCATAAATGCAAGAGTATTCATTACTCGGCACAAGCTCTTGAAAACCCCTCCATCAACATTCTCATTTCATGAATTTCATTTCCTTTATTCTTTACTCTTCCTCTTTTTCCCCAAACATTAGCAGACATGTACCGTTAATATACAAAGTCAACTGAAGTTCAGAAAAATGTACGCCACATTAATCTGCTAATCCTTAAACTGTCACACAAGGCCTGAGCCAAATAAGATGCGACAAGATGCAGAACAGCCCATGAAGAAGTACATAACTGGAGACAAGACTGAGACCACGAAGCCCAATCTTTCAGTGGATTCCTCCAGCTCATTCTTTCTTACACTTTTTTTTTCTGTCAGCATTTTAAAAATTTAGAGAGGAGCCAGGACAGTGTTTGTACACCTGATATTTACCATATCAAAAGATGCATTTGCTATCACTTCTCACAATTGTTTGATGGGTTTTGGATACTGCATAAAATTCCAATGTAGGCTGGCAAATCATTTTGATTTCGCAGACCCGCCCCCTCCCCAAGAGGACTTGAGGGATGTCCAAAAGCCTCCTCCGACCACATTTTTGAGGAACTGGCCTCGAATTGGAAACAGATCCCACAAACCGTCAGAATGGCTTTAATATCCTAGTATGATTTATGTTGAATGCTTATTTATTATCCATGACCATCACTAAGTGTTGTATCTAATGTTTTATGATGGATGTATTTTTAGAATGACTAGGATAATGATCTATCACTATTGTTGTCTGTACAGTGAGAGCTTATGCACCGGAGACAAATTCCGTGTGTGTCTTGGCCAATAAAGAATTATAATTCTAACAGGCACAGACGGCTTTGGAAGTTGTAGGAAGGGCACAGAAGCAACGGGCGGCACATGTCCGTCCCCCCCAACTAGGCTTCTCTATGACAACCGGACCCAGCCTCTACCCCTCTGGAAGCCCGCAGGTAGGAAGGCGATGCAAGTACGAGCGAGCAGGCGAATGAAAGCGGAGGGACCACTGGAGCCGAGCCGGGGGCGGAAAAGGCCCGCCAGCATCCCGCCTGAAGGAACGATGGGGGTTCGCCCTCAGACCGGCCGGGAGGGGGCGGGTCCCGGCCGCCATTTTCTCCCTCCCGTCGAATGCCTTCGCTGCCCCCCTCCCTTGCCCAACATGGCAGGTTTCGGGCCAGAAATGGGGAAAGGCGGGTCCGGCGGGACCCCTTCCCCGCCTCGTGGGGAACCGCTCGTTCCCCACCACACCTTCTCTGTACGGAACAACCCCCTTCTTTTCCCCCGGCCTTTTCTGGGGAATTCCTAGAAGGCAACATGGCGGCCGGAACGCTCCGTTGCGCGGGACAGCCCGCGCTCCATTCCCGCCTCCCTGACAGAAAGACGACGGGGGGGGAAGGGAGTTAAAGGGAAGCGCGCACTCACATTCCACTCGAATCCTTCCACTCCGGTCTTTCTAACGGCTCCCGACCTTTTCCAACGCTATTGGAAAAACGGAAGTGACGTTTGTAAGAAGCCCCTCCTGCTAACCACCACGTGGTGGCGAGAAGGACGCCCCCTCAGTCGCGCTGCAGGAGGGAGGGTTGCTCGGCTGCTGCGTTTCTTTTATCTTCCTCCGCTTTTTTTTGCTTTCGCCCCTTCGTTGAAACGGCATTTCCTGATAAGGCAACCTCGTGAGGCTCTGAAATTAGTCATCGTACATTCCGGTATCGTGGTGGCATCTTCGTTAGGGTCGTTTACTCCGTCTGTAAGATGCACCTGTACGTACTAAGATCTGTCTGAGTCGTTTGATTTTTGCATACTGTAAAGACAGAGCCGCCTCCGTGAGTTTTTACACTCTTAGTTAACGAGCCAGCAAATTTCCATCCCTTTGTAGCTGCGTTTTGGGAAAAGAGGGGATTTTACAATACCTACACTGGCAGTTTCCACATTGTTGGTTGTTTGTTGAATAAGGCACTGGGCTTAAAGAGTACTCGAAGACTTAGTGCAATATGCCAACTGGCCATTGAGAATAGAATTCTTTTTTGGCTAAGGGTGATAGGACACACAAGGAATTTGTCTTGATGCAAATGCTCTCAGTGTACATAAAAGATACATTCGTCAAGAATCATCAGGTACAACACTTAAGTCATAGGGTACAATAAGCAATCAAATCATACTAGCATTTTCTAGCCAATATCTAATTATACTATTACAATTGTTTGTGATTAATTCCAGAGCCCTTCAGCCTATAAAACTTTAGTAGTGTCTGAAGGCTGTTCAGCACAATCTTCACCCTAGAGTTTTCCTGCAGGTTCATGGTCTACTTTTCAGTTCAAAAAAATGCCATTTCACACAATCAAATGCAACCAGAGCCAATTGGATGGCTTTCTGCATTGTGTTCCTGCCACCTTTGCTTTGGTCTTCTGCACAGGCATTTTGCCATCAGTGTTAAAGTGGTAGGCAGTGAAAGCAATAGTGAAGTGCTGCTGCTCCTAGAATACAGCCCACAACATTGTAAATGCTCTTCCCACATTTTCTTTGTTATTGATGCAATATCCATCTGCTGTGGGACTACATCGTTGCAGATGTGATGAAGAGAAATGTTCGGTGACCAATGAAGCATGCTTATCTCTGTGGCATATAAAACCAATTAGCTTACCTGATTTTGTGGCTTGTAAAGCACTTTAAGGAATAGTGCTTTGTATGAGCAGAATTAAATCAGAATCCAGAATAAAATAAAGGGTTAATCAAATTGCTAATCAAAATTGTACTATTTTTCATGGAGAATTAACAGACAGTAGATCCAAACTATGGCCCAGCTTTTTTCTCTCAAGGATGAGAAACTGAATCATTTGGGTCTTTGCTGTGACTTAGCTATGCTCCAAAATGTAACCATGGACATCTAAAATTAGAGCCAGCAACCCTGTCAGGCATTGGAACCTGCAAGGGAACCAGGTGGCTTTTGTGCCTAAAGTGGGAGTATAACTTACAGGCTCCTTGTTGGTTGCTAGACCATTTACATTAACCACTAGCTCTTTGTAAATGTTTCAATGCTGAAAGTTACGTTTCCACACAGAAATTATTGCTGAAAAATACATGGAAGCATTATTGCTATGCTACTGGCACATGATAAAGTTAGAATGCAGAAATAGTATAACGTATAGAATGATAAAGTGAGATCTGCTGATAGCATATTTATTCATTTGACATATTTATCATAGAAACATGCTTTTAACTAGACCATTTCCCTAGACTACAGTTTCTTAAAAGTGTGGTCCTAGGACTCTCTTACAGATCCATGAATTCAGAATTATTTGCCAGACTATGTTGAAAAATAATACAGTATTAAAATCCCCTCAAACAATTGGGCTGCCAAAAGTTAGAGACCATTGCCTTTAAGACTTGCGTATTTTTTAAAATACTCCCTAAACCTATCCAGCCACACATATAGTTACAGCCATTTATTTAGTGACCATCTGAAGTTACAACAACACTGAATAAAGGGACTTACAACTGATCTTCCTATTTATATCCATTGCATGATCCCTGTGGTCACATGATCCAAATTTGGTTACTTGGCAACCAGCATGTATTTATGACGGAGTATCTCAGAATCATATGAACTCACTTTGCAACTTTTCCAGCTGGCTTCCAACAAAGTAAATGAAGGGAGCTAGATTTGCTTAATGACCATGTGATTCATTTACCTACCAGGATGGTACACTTAATCATGGTTAAGAAGTTCATAAAATTGAAAATGAATCACTTAAGAACAGTCTCTTTTAGCATCGGATGCTCCTGTCCCAATTGTGGTTTAAGTAGAGGACTACCTATATGGAACAATTAGGCCCTTGCAACCCTGAATATTAACTGTGCCCCCCCCCCCCCCCCTTGCTGGAAGGATGCTCATTGCAGATTAAGAACAATTGTTTTCAGAATCCAGTATAAATTAATAGACCCAACTTCCTGACAGCTCTTCAACCTCAAAAACTGACTATCTGCACAAGGAATACTGTATAGGTTTCTATTGCACTTTATTCCCCTCCAACCTATTTAATGTGGTTTGCAAGAATGTCATTTATATAAGCAATCATTTAATACATTAACCCAGCCATTTTTAATAAACCATGTTTCAGCAAGCTATGACTTAATACAATGTGTGAAACCAGTGTTAGCTTGATATATATCATGCATCCGCAAGACATCCACAAGTCTTAGTGGACAACCAACTAAATATGAGCCAGCAGTGTGCAGCAGCAGCCAAAAAAGCTAATGCAATCCTAAATTGCATTAACAGAGAGATACAAGTGGGGTGAAGTGAGGTACTAATATCACTCTATAAAGCCTGAGTAAGACCACACACCTCGAATACTGCATCCAGTTTTGGTCACCACACTTTAAAAAAAGATGTTGAGACTCTAGAAAAAATACAGAGAAGAGCAACCAGGATGATTAGGGGACTGGAGACAAACCTAATGAAGAACAGGAACTGGCCATGGCTAGTCTAGTGAAGAGAAGAACACATGATAGCAGTCTCCAATATATGAGGGGCTGCTACAGAGAGGAAGGGGTCAAGCCATTTTCTAAAGCGCCTGTAGGCCAGACGAGGAATAATGGATGGAAACCGAACTAGCAGAGATTTAACCTGGAAATAAGGAGAAATTTTCTGACAGCGAGAACTACATTTCCCAAGTGGCTTCACGCATCCAACGCTACGACCTAGCATAAGTAACCCGGCAGACGAACTACATTTCCCGCCGGTCTTTTCTCGCCCGTCCCAAGCAGCGCATGCGCTGCGACGAGGCCTGGCTCTTTCACAACGCCGTTGGAACCGTGTCGGTGGATGGTGCGAACGGGTACCGGCGAGGCGACTTAGCGATCGGGCGCGACGGCCAAAGACCGTGACCGATAGACCGAGACAGTTTTCAACCCCGCCGCCATTTCGGTCAGCCCGGCTCCATGATTCCCATATGCCCGGTAGTCTCTTTTACCTATGGTGAGTAATGGCTTCGGGCAAGCCCCGCGGGGGGGGGGGGGGCGAAAGCCGGGGGGGGGGGGGTGCGTCTCTTCAGGAATTGTTTCTGACCGAGGCTCTTTTCTCTCCCGTCCTGCACGCCATGTCGTCGCTTGCAGTGCCCAGCCGGCTGGGGGAAGATGCCAAAATGGCCACCGGCAACTACTTCGGATTCACCCACACCGGGGCCGCTGCTCAATATAGGTGATAAAGGCGCTTCGGTCTGTGGCGGGAGGCCTGGGAGGGGAAGGCGGCTGACCCCGCTCCAGCCTCGTGTGGGGCGGCTGTTGACGCCGGGCACGCGGAGGGCCGCGCGGAAGGCGCAGGCGCCCGAGAGGGGCAGGCGGCCTCCATCGCGCGCGGCCGCTCGTCCTCGCCGGCATGTTTCGGAGCCGTCCTGACCCCCCCCCCCAAACTCAGGATTTGGGAACCGTTACCCGTCCCCGCTGTCATTCAGCCGTCCCTCACCGGGGGCCGCGAGCAGGGAATGCAGGACAGCCAAGGGATGCTGTGGGGAGACTTCGTCGCTCAATCGCACCCACGTCCCTGTAGCCCTTGAGCCGCTTAAATGGCGACGGGTTTCCGACCCGAAGTTCTCCCGAAGTGCGTTTCTTCTGTGCCTTAGATGGCTTTCCCGATTTATGTATGACCCTTTAATTCTAGCAAGTGAATGGCAAACAATCTTAAAAATAAAAACAAATGCCCACCACGAATACAAAATTTGAAATGTGGAGTCCTTGGAGCTACCACCCTCAGGCCATCAAGCAGTAAAACAGTTGAGGGACTTTCCAAGGAGAAACCATCACTGGGGGGGGGGGGGGGAGCTACTTTAAATAAATGGAACAGATCCCACTTGTAGTTCTGAAGATGTTATTTAGCTGGGTAATGAAACATCTCCATGAAAACAACCAAGCTCCGAGAGCACTAAACACAATTCAATCCTGAGCTATGTATCTTTTTGTTCTTAACATGAACATCTACTGTATAAAATCACTTTCTCATACAGTCCCAGGAAGAATGCAATACAAAACCAAAGTTCTGTACTTTTGAAAGATAGTCCATCCATGCCTATGCTGAAATAACTTTCAGCAAGTTAACTGATTTCAGCCCCCCCCCCCCCCAATGGAAAAAAAATGGTCTTAAAATTTATAACATTTTTGGAGACACTTTGGAAAAGCAGTTTTTCATTTGAAGTAGAGTGGGACTGGAATATCCCACATGGAATTTGTCTTCCATGTACATGAAATATATATGCAGGATAGAAATGTTTATGTAAATACATTCATCATTTGTACACTTCAGCAAATATTCAGTTAAAGAAAACATGTTCTATTTGTATATTTGTAAATGTCTCCATACTTGAAGTCTTAAATCACAAAAGGGGGACTTCTTAGCAATGGGCCTTGTTCCATCTTTATGAACACTAGGGAAGTTGATGAATGCAGCATTTATCAATTTCTGCTACTACTCATTTCTCCTTTTGATACTGGCATTGTAAAATGATGGTAACAAATATTTCATTTCATTTATTCAAATTTATATAGCTGCCTGTCTCATTAAA